AAAAGCTTGAAGTCTGGCGATTCCAAAAATATATGCTTTCTAGGGTCTACCGTATTTGTAGTCATTTGATCACAATTAGAATATGAAAACAAGTATGCAAAAAATAGTCCCGCTACCTTAAGTGATTAAATAAATAAAATCATTACATGAATCACAGTCCCTCAACCGGTTTCCCAACCGGGTGTTGAGGGACTGTGCATGAATGATAGATTGAATGTAGAAAAATTCACTTCTTTCTGCATCATTTGTCATGTATGTATCTACTGGATTTAGTTAAGTTTCTAAAATTCCATGCAGGAATTTTATATCTAAGCAAGCCACTAAGAACATACACTCTATAAATAATATTAATTAACTGTTTTTCAATTTACCTTGTCATATTGCTCCTGAAAAAATAACACACTATAAATGTTTGTGTTTCTATGAGGTCTAACATACATTATGCTAGAGATATTATTATCCATGAATTTATTTATTATTAACAGTTGTTGCCCAATTTTTTTTTTAATTAAATTAATATTTAGATAATGGAAGGTTTCGTAGAGAATACTTGAAATATAAGATGACAACTATATACTAGAATGGCAGCTATTCATGAGCACACTATTCGTACACCATTCCCTCCATCACATTTACAAATCGCGTGTAACAGTACTTACCTGGCATTACCGTATACCAAGTCTACTGTCGGAATATGGAGTCTATCAAGTTTATCCTCTTCTGTGAGTATTGCATTGAAGAAGTTACTTTGTTTCAAATTTTTGTGATTGTATCAACTTTGCTGTTTATGTTGCATTCACTCACTATTATTTCAACAAGGAAGCGCTGATTCCTTAACTCTTTCGTACCATTGTATTTGTGTTGTTTACTATGCATATATTTTTCACTATAGCCTCTTCAACTGGAAGGTCATAGAAGAAAAATAAGTTGTTTGTGTTTTGGCAACAGAGGAAACCCAACATCGCTATGCAGTGCCGCTGATGATTTTATCATTACATGGAATGTTGAAAAAGCCAGGAATTCACTTGATTCTGGTAAAATATTTGTTGCTTGATTACCGGTAGTTCAGTTAGCAATATAGCATGCTGCAACTCACAGTATACAAGAACATGTGCTGTATTCAAAGAAATTCTCTTATTTTTTTCATCACAAATATTTTAAATAAGAATACAGTAAATTTCATAAACGCATAATTTTTTTTATATATATAAAACATTTATAGATGTTTGAAAGCTTGCATAGATACTAAACTAATAATCACTCTTCTCCGAGGAACCGTATTAAAGAGAACATACATGTATTAAGGTATTATACATGTATGTTATTGTAGTACTTGCCAACTAGTGCAATTTTTCTGAATGATAGGTCAGCAGATCAGAGGTCAAGTTATAAGTAAAGGTCAAGGCCTTGTGCAATATGTCAGTTTCAGTCCAGATGATGTTCTGCTGGCAGCATGTATTGATAAAGAAGTTGTCATTTTAGATACAAAAGTAAGTACTACAATTACTGTCAAATTTTGTTGACTCAATTCACATGTTTCTATTATTCTGCATTTCTTTGATGCTTTCTGTGTGGCATTGTTTATTGGTCTTCCCAACCAGAATTGTGACATTGAATTAGTTATTGAAATTCAGTTTTACTAGAAAATTGTTGTAAATGGAAAATTACAAGTAGGCTAAAAAAAAAATGGGGGGGGGGGGGTATTGAGATGTTAAAAATAAAAAAACAGTGTAGTGAGTACCTTTTTTTTTGCTTTTTTTAAAACTGTTTTTATTGGATACATTTACATACATTTGTAGTTCCTGATTATAAGTACATTATAGACTGTCTGGGAAATTACAAGTTCTGTATAGTCCATCAAATATAGAAACTGTAATGACCATGTAATTACCATATATTCCTGTTTCCTGACCAGCTGACAAATAAAGTTCATCAGCAGTGATTCTTCTGTAGCAGAAATAATCATTCAGAACTTGCTGAGGGTGTGAACTTAACTTAAAGGATTCACCCCAGCTAAATATCTTGGTTTTTCAAAACAATACTGTGTATCGGCACTCATAAAAAAAAGTTGCTCATAGCTCACTTTTGCAGAAAGTACACAGTGGAGTAGGATACCTTTAATGGGTTAATTTTATGTTGCGTATAATATATTGTGAATAATTTTAAATTTGGAATTCTTTTGATTTAGTGTCTGTTATCATTATGATGAGACTGTACAGTTGTTACATTTATACTAGATGATTCAATTTTAATTCTTCACATTTTTTATCTAGTAGTTGTTTAGGATTTGTAGATAAATGTCCTGGTTCATTTTTCTTATTTTTAAATAACTGACACCTGTTTTTGCAACAAGGAGAGATTAGCTTGACCCATAGGTTGCCATAGTATCAGATCATGTTTTTCCTGTTTTTCTTTCTTTATTCAGGAACAAATTATGTTATTTTTAAACTTTGTTGTGTACATGTTAGCATAGATATTCGTTTTGTACGTTATTAGACTGAAAGACTAGACACTACATTAGAAGGCCATACAGCCAGAGTAAACTGTGCTGAATTCTGTCCACATTATTCATCCACTGTTGTGTCTATATCTGATGATAGGACATTTAAGGTAAGTATTCTCAGTATATTGTGCCAATAATCTTTTGTCACATGTCCATCTCCCCATTAGTCCCACAGACTTTTCATCAGCAGCTAATATACTGTAAAGGGGTTAATTATTCACTGGGTTTTAATTTTGCCAATTTCGCTGACTGGAAAATGCGCTAAATTAAAACAATTTTGAATAGAACACATTATCTAAATGATAAAACCGTGAATTTAAAACCCACTGAATATACCTGAAATGGTAAATCAGCGAAATTTAAACCTAGTGAAAATTAGTCATTTTACAGTAACCAGCCATTTTACTTTGCAACTGAAAGCATTTTATTTTTTTCCATACATTATACAATGTACATCATAACACACTAATTACAAGTAACATGTGTAAGTTTCAAGTTCTGATTCAGAATGGCAGATTTATTTTAGTTTTGCTTACTGCTAAACCACTGAGGGATCTGTCATATGACATTTTGTTCACTATGTCTTTATGTATGAACTTCTGGGTCAAAATTACAATCTGAACCTTTACTTTTATCCTGACCAGTAATTTCAGTGAATTATTATGTTATCAAGACACTACATGTATGTCATGTGCAATTTATTGTATTTATTTGGTAATGTATGTCATGTGCAATTTATTGTATTTATTTGGTATCTGGCTAAATCCATCTTTTTGTTTAATCATACAAGTTTTACTATCAACTACTTTTGTTGTTTTTCTCCTTCAGATATGGGATATTGCAAATTCCTGTTTGATTTACCAATCAACTATTATTTCAGGTAAGGTAAGAGTTTTTTTCTCTCAAACTTTTGTTGAAAAAATCATGATCCTGTCATCCCTGAAACATACATTCCTCTTTTCCAGTTTAAATTGGTCACCCTGTGTGCCAGTGTAAAAAGCTGGAAGTGTTCATGTGGGCTCAATGTTTTGTATTGCAAATAGTCTACAAAACTGAAATTTTCAGAGCTATTTATCATGTCGTACTGCACCAATTGTATCATTGAATTTTTCATCCATATACAGTTATTACTGATTAATTCAACACTGATACCATGATCTGTTTTTAGCATCACCGTTCATCAGTTTATCAATGGATGCAACAAATCCACAGTTTGCAGTTGGGTCATCTGATGGACAGGTAAGTAATTAAGTGACAGGCTTAATGCAGTATTTATAATAAGTAGATTATGAATATTAATGAGCTCAGGAATACTAATTAGTGATGACACTGAAAACAAGCTTAATAGAAACGTACTTACTTACATGTATACTGGTATTACGGTAGTAGATGTTTAAAATCTAGGGTCTATGATACCATCGATTTAATATGACATGTATTTAGCTACACACCACACACTTGGTCATTGTTCATTACATTCTAGGTGCGTGTGTATGATTTGAGAGATGGCAACGGGTTTAGATGTTTACATCACTTGAATGTCTCCAAGTTATTGAGAAAACGCAGAGAAGCTGCAGAGCAAGCAGCATGTGTGACAAGCAAGACAAGTAAGTGTATTCAGTATCGCCCGTTGATGGTTTCTGGTTTCGTTGATGCTTACTATTGATTGAATTTGTCCTCAGTTTGAAGCAGAAAAAACAGAGCATGGAATGTATTATGAAAAAAGCAGATTTGGGATTTCCCAACAGTCGCCGCTACCATGCAACCTCCAGTGAAATTTTTAGTAACCAAAAATAATACTGAATCTCTTTAATAAAAAATTAAAACACAATTCAAAATTGTTAATTGATCTTTTCATTCCAAGGTCCAACAACCATCAGTAGTCGTCCATCATGGCAAATTGAACAACCATCACAAGAAGAACCATCAATATCATTACCATACGATGATACATCAGAAACTGAGGCTATATCAGGACTGTATTACGCACTTAGACCCAGTAGTGGAAAATCAGGCAGTGCCAACAGGAAACCAGCTTTTCTAAACACTGATGATACAATTGTAAGGTAAGATATTATAAATATTGTAAATTCTGTTAAAAAATAAACAGAAACATTTTGCGTTAATTACATGGCATTGATGTCTGTACGTCCAAAGGTGTAATGAAGGTGAGATTGAAATTTTGTGGCATCTATGGATGGATTGTTGGGTGTGTACATACAATGAAATACATTTCCAGTACATTCAAACTTGGTGTAAAAACAAGTAACTTACAATGCTCATCATTTTGTGTGGTGATTCATGAAAGTTGACTCATGAGTTAGAGACATTTTGTTTATCCATTGCTGTCATCACCAGCCTTACATAGTATTGAAATGAATAGCTTATTTGATAACGTGTGTAAAGACAAATCAAGGGCAAGGCAGAAATCATTACACTATGTTTTATTTCTAGGGATTTGTTAGAAAAAGCTCCCATGTTATTGGTTGCCACGCCAGGTGCTTTATTTCAAGTCAATGCTCATAGTTATGAAGCTGCATCCTATGTCCATTTCCAAGGTATTTTGTATGTATTATATATTAAATAATAATTAACATAAATCTCTAAAAGAATTTTTTGTGGTATATCATAGTTAAAGGCTTGATGAAGAATTATTTGATGTGATCGTGAACCAAATTCATTACTTAATAACATGTTGCATTTCATAATTGAAATAATTTATAATCAATCACATACACTGTATACGACAATCATGATCTTTTCAGCCTCGTATGCACTACTTTATTGTGGCTTCTTGATCATTTGACATGAATTGTAGCTAAGAATGTAGACAGTTATTTAATTTCATCGTTAACCTAGTGATTGACTGCTGGTTTATTTGTCTTGAATTGAACAACTTCATACATATTCATGATAATAACGTAACTCAAATCAACGCTAATACTTGACATCCAGATCCGTTACCAACCGAGAGTCTTATACAAGAGGAGACTGATAAATGTATTTCACTGTCAGGTTCATTTGCATTTGCACAGACTAGCGATATACGACAAGTAAGTATGAAATGTATTGCACTTTGTGGTTTTTTGTCATACTGTAAAATACTTTATTTAAGCTGGAAGTAATTTTTGCTGAAACGACTTTTTGGGTGTATTGTATCAAATATATTTTCACAGATTTTTGTAAAATATAGGAAAAAAGTTATATTCATTCCTTCAGTGAAAATTAATTATAAGCGAAAATAAAGTATTTTACAGTAAGCACTTTAAATCTGGAAATCAATTTTAGAAAATTTCATCAAGAACTCTAGGTGATGGAATGAACATGCTTTCCTATGATATCCAAAATTAACTAAAATGAACATTTCATAAAAATGTGTTCAATGTTGCATGCAAATTTTGCTGGTAAGAAGGTGAAATAGAATTGAGGGAATTCATGCAAATGTGTCATCCCTTGCATGACAAAGTTTATGTTTTGTGGGAACTGGCTCTGATCCATTCATACAACTATACATTCTTCCTGAATAATGTATACAGCTCTGTAAGGATGATTCTGTATGGACACACATTTAAGATCAAATCTGCATTGCACTATAAATATTTTACAGGTATGGTGTCTTGCTGGTAGTCTATTTGAAAAAGTAGTAAACGTTTTAAAAATTCAACATCCCAGCTGTATACCAAGTAGTGAAACCAACCTGGCTCGTGATTTGTCTGACAGATTATTGATAGGGAATCATGGCGGTGATGGCACTGTGGGTGAAAATCTTACAGATGATGGTGCATCTGTTGATGGTGAAATTACTGTCTTGTCAAGGTACATCATTTGGATTATTGATACTTTAAATATGATTTATCTATAACTTGTGATTGTCATAATTTTTTATTAGGCTTTTTTCCATCGAGTGTGGTGGTACCACAACAGTGTTTTGTTATCTGACACTGCTACAGTTATTATCCTGGCCACCATGGTGATTTAGCTCTGTTCGTTGTATGCATGTGGTATTTTATTGAGTATACAGAAATCATTACACCTTCTCTTTGAAATAATTATGCAAATGATATGTTTATCAGTATGCGAATTGATATCACAACAGTGGTGTCAATTTCTGGAAGGACACTGTATTCATTGAACTGCATCAGTCAAATTGGCAAGTTTCTTGCTTTGGTCCTCTGACATGTTTATATTTAACCCTATTTTATAAAATTCAGACAATGCTAAATACCTATATGATATGATATACTGCTGTAAGTCATTCTCATGAGATGTTTTCAAAAGAATTTTCACCATTTCTCTTTCTCATCACTAGTCAAGTTCATATTCAAGAAACTCAGTTTATATTTGATGATGCCTGCATGTTATTGGTTGTTAATTTTATCAATATTTTATTGGAACACTTAAAATTCCTCAGAATGAAATAAAATGGTTACACTAACTACTTGAAAACATATTTAAAGCATACAAAATTAATCTAAAGCATGACGATGTTTTGAAAAAAAAAAATACAAAAACTACTGGTGATAATAATAATAATAAAAAAAAGCAATATACAGTAAATCAATGAAACATGGAAAAATACTAAATGAAAAAAAAAAACTTATTAAAGGAGAAAAATATTTATATTAATTTGCCAGAAGATCTCATTTTTATTATCACATGTTGAATCAATGTGTTTCTGACACTTGTCGATGGCCGCCATTCATGGTTGTTGATGAACTAAAATAAGTTTGTAACAGATTTTTGTTTTAAAAAACATAGTTCAAGAAATCATCAACCTTTTTCAAAGTGGGTGCAATGAATTTTGGAAACAAACCACATCACAACCATGCATTGCTCAAAAGTCTTTTAATATTATCATTCATTTTATTATCACATTATTTATTAGTACTCCTCTGTGTGTGAACTCGCCTCTGAAATCTGAATTGGTACCAAAAACTAAAGAAGCAACACCAGTTAAAAGAGGTTCCAAACTGTGGCCTCCAGCTGGTATGAGGAAAGTTACAAGCCCTGACAATCAACCATTGACCTTTAAAACAAAAATCAAATCTTCAGGTTATACAGAGAAACCAAGGTTAGTGTAATCAAATACCTTGTGATTGACACAGTGCTGTTTTCTCAACTACATTACCATTTATATTTAGTATATCATATATTACATTCACTGTTTTCATTTAAAAGAAAAATATTAATTCCAGTACCCAAATTTTACATTAATTACCATTTGTTTGCAGAATGAATATGTTTTCACCACAAACAAATAAATCCAAGGCAACCACAAGCTCAAAATTCAAGTTATCCTCTGGATGCAGGTAATATATTTCTCTATGCTGAATTTAGAATTCTGTGTTTGTTTATATTCTATCTTGTAGCTTTCAGCTATCTTTGTTACAATGTCTCTGGTGTTTTTCTTGTTTTTCAGACCTGGCACCAAGGAGTACCCTATGGATGCTAACTATCCTGAAACAATGAAGATGAAACTGAGCATTGCTGAGCAACCAACGCCCATTAATTGCATTCGTTTCTCAGGTGAGAAAGGAGATATTCATCATCATAGCAAATTAGCGTGTTTTACCCACGACGTTCACCACTCTTTCATCAGTGTGTAAACTTGTACTTGTAGGCAATGTTTGTAAAAGTGTGATGTCAGTTTGCAGTCAGGAATAGATTTTTACATAAGAATGTGAGTTGGCAGTAATATACAGGAATATCATTTGTACTGTAATTTGATTGTTGAATATTTCTACTGTTAAATTAAACTGCCCCTGAGTGTTGCAAATCCAAATAGCTACAATCCTTGGGGGCGGAGCTACGTCACGGATGTTCTACGTTGCTAAGACGCGCACCACTGTACTACGTATTTCTATGGGCTCTGTGTGCGCTGCTGTGGAACGCCGGAGGAGCACGTGAAAACTTGAGAAAACAACACAAACTCAACTTTGAAGTAATCCTGAACAACCAAATCCATATATGTTACACACATAGGGCTAATCTTGTTACACTGTTCAGGGGACTCTCAACAACCATCGCAAAGTGCCGTTTTCTGCGAGTTTTTGGTCTTTGTTTTCACTGCGAGGGTTGCCAGGCGATAGAAACTGCCCGGATGTCCGCCCCCGAGGATAGCAAATGGAAAGAAGATCATTTGTAGTATAGCGCCCTCAGTGGTGATACAGGAGAATTTTCTTGCTGATTTTGATCATTATTTTGGCCAATAAGTTTAATAAGGACAGTCTCACTTGTGTGATTAATGATAAAAAAAAAAAATCACTTCTAATAGTTTCCAAACACATTAGTACCGGTATTTATATGATTACCGGTATTTTGACATGATTATAACAGTGGGCGCAAACATAATTTGTACAAGGAGTTAGCAAACTCTCTAGGAAAGTCCCTATGAACATTGCAATATAGTGAGGAACTTACTTTCTTATTGGTGCTATCTAATGTTATGAACAATTTGCTACATTTTGTGGCAATCTCATTTCCCCTGGCGCCACTTGATTTTGGACTTAATTTTTGACTAGGTAGTACTATGGCCAAGTTGTTGTCATACAACAACCTTGTTGTCACTATACAAAGGAAGCTGCAATTTATTGTACGAATATTATTTGCGGCAACTTCAACCGTGTGGGGGAGGTTTACAGGATTATTGGAACATTGATAAGGACTTTTCCAAGTAATTTGCAAGTTACCTGTACAAATCTCATTTGCGTACACTGTAAATCAAGGTTTAATGATATGACATAATGAGTCAAATATTTATCAAGTTGTCTATCATTTATTGCTTTCTAGATGATGGTCAAAATTTAGCTGTAGCGTTGTCTAACAAGTCATCTCTAGTATTCAAGATGCCACTGAGTGGAAAAGGCTCTGCATTCACAGGTGAGTTGCATTCAAATCTTTTTTCTAGGAGATGAGGTCAGTTTTATTTTTTTGTAATGACACTGTGAAATACTTTATTTTAGCTGGAGTTAATTTTCATTGAAAAGACTTTTGGGGTGTTTTTTATGGAATTTATTTTCACTGATTTTTGATGAGTTGAATGTAAAATATAGGAAAAAAAGTTATATTCGCTGGATTTTATTTTCACTGAATCATTCCTTCAGCGAAAATAGCAAAAATTAATTCCAAGCAAAAAAAAAGTATTTTATTTGCAAGAGGGTTGAATGACCTTAGATTTTACTATGTGAATGTGTAAAAAGTTATATTTGTGAAATTAACTACAGTAACAAATTCACCCAGCCTTCTCTCTCCTAAATAACAAAATGGTTCACCCGTCTGACTTTTTGACCTGAAGTCCACATTCACCTTTAGAATACTAATACTGTACAATCTTTATTAGAAGCCGTGGTTTCTATTACAGTGGAACAATGCAACAGAGGAGATGCGGCTTCTATTAGAGCATCTACACATATGAGAAATTGTGATTTTTTTGGTTTTCAGTTGTTCAAAAAGAATGGGTGCGACTTCTATTAGGAACAGTATACAGTAGTAAAAACTCGTTTTGTTGCTCGACCTTAAATGACCTATGACCTTTGTGTTATCTACATGTAGGGCATAATGCATGTGTCAATAGTGTAGATTGGAGTCACGATAACAAATGGTTATTGACCTCGTCGGATGACAAGACAGCTAGACTATGGTGTAAGGGACAAGCTGAACCAATACTAACAATAGACAATGTAAACCATAATTTGACTGTTGATAAAGAAGGACTAAAACCCATTGATAAGGTAGGAAGGTCAGGTTGACATCTCAACTCAAGTGTACCAGTTTCTAAAAATTGTGTATAACTATTCACAGGGTCATTTAATTTGAATAAACAGAAATTATAAAAAAATAAAAGATAAAGCAAAAATTAATACTTTTGATAATAGTAAATATTGATTATATGCATTAATAGTGAATCAACACAAGCATGCTATTGAATTCCTGCATGTACGATACTATAAAGCAGTTGTTGGTCAATGTGTTGCTGTACTTTTTGCATGCGTCACCAAACTCATCATTTCTTTTTCCACATATTTTTAAATGTAGATTACTGAAGTATTCAACATTGGATTGTGCTATGAATAAATTTAATAATTTCTCTACGTTTTTCCCCACCAGCGTGATGGAAATTTCCTTTAATTTAAAACATTAGTTTTGCACCAAACCGACAGAATATGTTACTGCTCACTGATTCCGACTTCAGTTCATCATCTTTTATAGTAAGGGGCAGATTTTCACTCTCTGAATGTCAAAATCAATACTTGTCATCTTTCTTAAAGTCTAGAAAACCTGATAACCATAGAATATGTTATACAGTGTAATCAAATAAAACGTATGAAAAAGAAAGAGAGTATGTGTAAACGATCGTACAAAGCAAAGATGAATATAACCATCTCAGAATCACTATTTTGTCACTTTGACGTAAATTATAATTTTCATGTCTCATTTCAGAACAACCCAGTTTTCCAGAAAGAAATTAAGCATGCCCAGTTTTATTATGTTGACAAGTTTATTCTGTTGACATCGGGAAATTCTTTTTATATGTATAAATACTACCTTGATGAGAAACCCAAAGATGACATCAAAAGGTGAATTTTGATTAGGGCGATAAATTTCATTTTTTAAATAAATTTTATTTTCTGTGTCACCATTAGTGTGAACTGATCTGTGAATTGTTAATTTCATCTTTTTTCACTTTTTTTTTAACTTTGATTAAGGTAGAAGCCAACTTTTTGAGAAAGTTGGTCATAAATCACATGTCAATGTTATTGCTTTATTATGTAAAATCATGAAGTTATTGTTCTATTTGAGAAACTTGTCCTAATATTCTTCAAAACTCGCTATTTTTCGAACAATTCCAACACAACACAAATTACTGTCAAAATTACCACTAGCCACTAAATTACAACCATCATTTCTTAAAAATTAGGCTGGTAACCTGGGAGTACAATTTATTGCAAAACGAATATATATTCTGGGTATTTGCATTTATGAATAGGCTTCTATCTTAAGACAGGGAAAAATTACATCCATTTGGTCGAACATTCTTAAAGAAACTATACATATTATTTCAGAGAATCAAGTAAATAAAAGAACAACATGAGCTCTGACAAAGCAGTCTCATTTTAAATCTTCAAACTTTAGTCGTTGAATAACTTACTATCATACATATTAATCCAATATGCATTTATTCATTTCCATTTCTTATTTAATCTGTAGCCCAACATACACAGTGCATTCTGGGATACATCATTCCACCTTATTTGCATATGATATTTATCATTGCGTTATTCACCTTTCAGGTATCAATCCAAGAATCGTTATAAATTGGTAAAATCATTTCAATTGGATAGAACCCAACAGATTACCTCCCTGTCCTCAGTCAATGGATTCCATTCATGTATCCTTTTTATCCATCTTAATATAGACCACTGTATGTTTTCTGAGTTGTATCTGTCCCACAAGTAATTGCCTCTGTTAGCTTCAGTAATGGTGTTACTTTAATTTTTATTATTACATTACCAATGTTCAATTTAGATAACTGAAAAGATTATGACATGTCATGTGATGTTTTTTCCACCAATCAGTAGCCATTAGACACACCTATATTCATTTAAGCTGAGAATGTTTTTATATTGAACTGACATGTTTCATTATTAGATGTTTTATTTTATTTTATTTGAAATTAATATAACTGCAGTGTATATGTAGTTATGCAAGGTAAGTCCAACCTGCATATAGCAACCACTAAAAGTACTTAAAATAATTCCTGTTTGTAGACAGGTGGTCTTTATATGGAGGATTCTTGATTAATTTGAGAATAGAATTATGTCAATTTCTCAGTTTAACATGCAGTTTGCGTATAAATTTTCGGATAAAAAATAAATAAATATGTGCTTATTTTTTGGTTAAATTGAAAGAGTCGATGTTTAATCACTAAACATGCAATCATTGTCTCAGTGCCATTTATATACAGGTCATTTTACATGTAAATTGCATTGGGACTGCCTAATGGTGGTCACTATGGGCAGGTGGTCTTTATACACAGGTGATCACTAACACAAGTTTGACTGTATATCTGTCTTTGACTTTGAACTGTTCAGATATTACACTCTGCGGTGGTTCTAATAAATCTATTGAAGTGTTTGACATGAACGTATCACAGAGCATACGTGTGATGCAAGATGTACACACAAGACCTGTGCACAATATTTGTCAGAATGAGGTAAATGTATTTTTATTATTATGTGTAGATTTATTATGAGTATATCGTTAAATATTCACCACTATATGCTTTGATAATTTAAGAGAGTTTCGAAAAGATGGAATTTCCTGACAGTCACTGTGAATATTTGTTCTACAGATCCTGGTGAAGTTCTCACTACCGTAAAACCTGTTTTAGAAGCTGCATCCTTGATAGAAGTCGCACCCATTCTTTTTGACAACCAGATATTCATAATTCCTCATATGTGTAGATGCTCTAATAGAAACCGCATCCCCTCTGCTGCATTGTACCTTGATTTCTAATACAGAATTTTCACTACTGCTAAATGTTGTGATTCTCTCTAATTTACAAAGTTTATGAATAGAAAAGGTTCATGGAATATCCAGAGTCAGAATTTGGGATATAGTACACAGGTCTTACTGTACACATGAAATGCAATGACAGATGCTGTCAGTATTTGACTCAACTACGTGTTGTTTTGGGTGGTTAAATCACCTTCTGTGATTTTTTTTCTGTGAAGATTTACAGATTGATAATCTTGATTGTCTACTGATCAGCAATAAATTTTTACATTTCAGGGTTCGTCCTACGTGTCCCATCCACCTAATGCATATGATCTATTTCTAACTGCTGCCACAACAGATGGTATAAAGCTATGGGATTTGAGAACTGATCGGTACGTACAAACTTAATGTAAACACCTCTTTTAATTGTTACACATAGAAGTACATGTATGTGTCATAATTCAAGAAATCATAACTTAATTAATATGCCATAAAGTATTCGGAATATACATGTAGTTATTTGAAATTTGACACAGCATATCATGTTGAGTATAACATTACATCCATTCAATAGTTGTGTTCACGTTACATGAAGTACGGGCTAAGATTTAAGCTGATTTAGGCTTATCTAGCATATTTGCATTTCTGCTAGACCCAATTGCGTCCACGCACAGGGAAGGCCAGTTGTTAGCACGGGCTAAGGGGCACTATCAGTCGGTGACCTTTGGCAAGCCACTATTTACGAACGAAAAATGGATGACACGCGCGAGGTACTATTTCTGCTGCTGACATGTTTCGTTCTAATTTTGAAGCGACGTGCACAGGAACGCGAGAAAAGACGGACCCAACTTATTTGGATGCACAGAAACAGTATAAAACGGCGTAACAGAATACATAGTTTTATTAATGCATGTTGTAGACAGTGAACCAAATTTATTTTGTCTACATTTGGAGCTGCTGTACGCTCTACTACAGCGACCCGATCAGTGTGGAAGCGAGCGCGAAGTAATGACTGGTGGAATAGAGTCGTTATACGAACATGGGACAATGCAGAGGAAAGGGCGCTTAGTCCTGGGCTAAGCGTTCGCGCACACTCAGTTAGCCCGTGCTAAGGGTCTAGACCGCGTCTTAAATTTAGATCAGATTTAACCCGTACTTAGCATTCCTTAGCCTGTGCTAAGCGTTCACGCACGTTTTCTTAGCATGGGCTAAGGAATTTGACCTCTTAGCCCGTGCTAAGGAGCTGTGCGTGAACGCAACTATTATGAAGTTCATTACACAAACACACGTGTCCATGTGATATATAGCATACATCTCAAACGTGGATTGATTGACCTTGTATATTATATATGTAAACTAATTATTAAAACTATTGTGTGCAGGTTTCAACCATACTGGCTTTACTCCAAGAAGACCACTTGCAATTTTTTAAAGTCGCGTCTGTTCTGTTACTAGTAAATTGCTGCAATGACAACAATTTATTATGCGATTTATTGCGCTCATGTTTATTCATTTGTCTTTGGCAGATGTGATAACATAAAGTAGTTTTGCTGAAATTACCTGTGAACTAGGTCATGTGACTGGATTTATATTCTTCTCAATATTTATTAATACTCATTGAATTTTAGGGTTCTTGGGTTTTTTAATAAAAAAAACAACATCTAGACATCTAAAATTATTATTATACATGCGTGTTTACAAAGTGTGGCGAAGCATATTAAAGCAAATCTATCTCTCAGGACGCTGATCAACTTTTTGACTCCCGTGTGCG